CGGCCGGTAAGTCGGCGGTCAATTCTCGATCGTCCGGTCGGTGAGAGGTGAACCGGAACAACGCGGTGACGTAACCAAACCCCACGAGCCCAGGTAGACTCATGAATATTAAGTGTTACATTTCATATAGCACTTATCAACAAATTTCCACCCACTGTTTGGGAGAGGAGATAACGAATACAAAATTACTTCTGAAGGAAAAATGAATAAAACCATTTCCTTGAATGTGTTCGACGGAAAACCAGTCACCTATCACGTTACTTTTCGCACGTGAGGAATTTAAATCATTAGGGGGAAGTCTGTTAATATAACAGTAAACAATCCACAGAAATGTTGTTGTATTCGATGAGATAGTTCTATGCAGCCGACGCCGCCCTGACAATGAGAACTTTTGGATCTGAGCTGGAATAAAAGACGAGGGATAATATCGGGTTACACATGTAACAGGAAATTAGCTGTTCAATCCCCCAAAACATTTCAGGTTTAGAGGGTGCAAGCCACAGTGTACATCGTACACTTCTAACCAGGGTGACCGTTTGAAGCAACCGTCCGTGCAACTTGACAGACATTTTTTTTGGGGGGGGGGACAAAAGGGAATGATTTTTACGCAGATTTCTTACAGAATTCTGTAAAATCGGCACTTCAAACAGAAACATATAGCAGCTTTAGTTTGAACATTTTTTTTCAAATGAATGATTTACAAACCAAAACAGATCAGTTAAGTCATTCTATGGAATGATGGAATTTCCTGGGACTTTGACGTCGTGTGAGCCAAGCTTCACCTTAGATTAGGCACTTAACTTGTTTATATGCGGCTTAATTATAAGCAATTTTATAACCTCTACATGCGAGTTTAAGTATTTATAATGTGCTGTGTGCAGTTGCAGATTTTTAAAAGTGCATTTAGCGGAATTGTGCCATTACACTGGCGTCGTCACCAAAAATGCGTCGACTCCAACGGCAGTGCGGCAGGATTGTTTGTAGCGACCAATTGCAATAGTCGAGTGAAGCAAAAGTCGAAATGGCTGCGAACAGCGAAAAACAACTGTAATGCGATTTGTGGAGTCATGTTTCCTTCTTTTATGAGAGCCAATACTAATTAGACCGACCGACTGATCAACCGACCAAACCAGGCAGCCGGCTACACTACCTCAGACAACGGCACAACGAACCATGAAATCAATCGATGCGTGGGCCAGCAGACTGAAAAATAATAGGTTAATGGGAACATTGGACGAACAATCTAGTGTAAGAGAGGGTAACCATTTTAATTTCGAGCGTTGGCGCGTGACAAAAATTAACGAACCGATAGCGGGACGCCAAAATTAAGCTTCCATCTTCGCATGACGGGAGGTTGTGCAATGAATGTCGAAACCAGTGAGAACAAATTGGCACCAATTTCATAGAATGCGGTGACTCACGTCATGTCAGCTGTTTGATGCTGGATTCTGGTAGTAATGTGAATTCCTTTTCCCACCAAAAAGACCTGGCAAGCCCACACTTGGTTTGTATCGTGGAAAAGGACGTAAAACAGCAACCTCACTGACACAAAATGATATCCACTCTCCTCTCCGACCGGCTGAACGTTTGACGTTGCGCCCTTGGCCAATTATGAAATTTACTCTCCCCACATCTGTTCTTAAAACAAGATGTTGAACGGTGGCATCATAATATCACGATGTCCGAAGGATAAGAACCCCATCTCCTCTCTTAAACATGTTTGTGGAGAAGGATTTCGCGATAATTTTCAGCCCGTCTTCAGCGGTCTTAGAAACTAGGCCACTGTCCCCTAGTCCAATTCCAGTTCGGTTTCACAACTCAGCCGCGACAAAGCCATTTGGTCATCGCCTCGCCGAGAAATTTGTGGCGGGGAGCGTGTGATATCTCTCGCCTTGCCGGTGACGCGACCAGGCGGAAGAAAATTTTTAAAAGCTTGGTGGATGACACCGACAACGAACCCATTACCATCGACGCATAAGTCCGGTGCATTTTAGGGTGTTACCCCCCCCCCCCAATGCAGGATCTGTCTTGGGAGCTGGTTACCGGTACGGGGTATAGGATGACATGATGGGTGGTAGGAAGAGAAACAGGGGTGAGGAAAAAGGTAAAGGTCATGGTGGTGTATGAGCGCCGAAAGGAAGGGGGCGTGACTCTCTTCAAGGCGAAGAGGGGCAGGACACTTATCTCTTTCCGGCTAGCCAACAATCAACTGTGTGCACGTGGTTTGCCCTTCATTTATACGTTGAAGAGACAATTTATTTTGTTAGTAAAGCTGTGACCGAGTTGTCGCGACAAAAGAACTTGTTCCCATAATCTTTAGTCTTCACAAAACGTGTGCAGTCCCCACGGCCAAGGAACTCGTGTGTGTGTGTGGGGGGGGAGGTGTCCATTTCAAAGCCATTTTCAAGAAAATTGCCGATTTCCACCCCCTTTTTTCTTCTGTTCCACTTTTTCTTTAAATTTCTCTTTCTTTTCTCTCGGTCTCTTGTCACATTCCTCTTTTTGTCCCCCAGGGAGTGAAAAAGCAGAAAAACACCCCCTTCCAGGGTGTCCATGCAAGGGTGAGAGTTTTGGTAATACATAAATAAAAAAAGAGAGGAGATTATTGTGACCCTGATATAATTTGGAGGGAAAGACTATTAGTAACTTTAAGCATGATGAAATTGTGGTTATCATTGGTTTGCTAGTTTATTAAAAAAAATTAAAACAAATTCACATTACATAGGAATTAACACAAATGACTCCGATCAACAAGTTAATTTTTTAATTGATGGAATCACAAAGAAACACATTAAAAGGAAAAAAAATGAAATACTGCCACACTTTATTTACTTGGATTAAAGAAAAAAGGGCAACATCTGATAGGGAAGTGAGGATGGTGAGTGGTGAGAGTAAGAGTGGTGATTCCGGTTGTGATTTGGACAGCGCTGGCTACAAAGGTCATTCAATAACCCCAACGCTCTGGAGTGTATGTGAAATCATATTGAAATGGGAGAATTTGGGACTGTTCGGTAGGGCTGTGCCAAATATCCGCATATTCGATCGAGTATCAAATATTCGAATATTATTTTCCGAATGCGAATATTTGAGAGCAAAATTCATGAAAACAAGGGGAAAATTTTCTTTTGTTTTAAATGCCAAATATTGCACTGTGGAGGCTTGTTTCAAGCAGGCTCAAATGAAAAGCGACAGAAATCTCACAACGATTCCAAAATTAATTTGTTCATTACAAAATTTGAAAGGACAAGAAGTATTGTTC